CTTGGCAGTCCTGGTAGCTTTATTCCTAGCCCCAAGGACAGCAGAGAGCCTGGGATTGGTCCCAGAATCTGCCCTAGAATTTACAAGCACATTAACAGAGGTCTGAAATGATGTAAGGGAACTAGACCAAATCAGCTGTGAGTTTCATTGGCCTCCAAGCCAACCTCATGAACCGTTGTTTCTCGATCCACTCATCTGCGCCCAGACTCAGGGGCTGAACACCAATCAGATGACTTCAGGCTTGAAGCACAGGGAATGTATTAGGTATTGAAAAGTACCACCTGTGACTGTCAGTTTCATTTGTATGCCTACAAAATATGGGGAGACTGAAATGCATGGGGCATAACAGGTTTTTAAACTGATGTAATTATATCATTTGTTGGAAGAGACATATATACATTCAGAAATATATATTTTATATGTTTTAGTACATGAAAATTTTAAGGTTTTAGCTTCTGATGCCAGCCAAACCCCCCTGATTTTGGTACCAGGTTTGGCAGCCACTGCGGTCTGGGTGTCTGTATAAAGCATTGAACTATGGACACTTGGCTAATTTCCTTCCCTTCATTCTGCTTGTGGCTTGTACCCTTGACAGTGATGACAGTGAGCTATACTCAGTTAGCCTAGTCAGGTGGAGAAAAGCACAGGCCTGGGAGACAAGTCGATCTAGGTTCTGATTCTGGTTTTATGACTTTAGGCAAACCACTCAGCTTCTGTAGTCTTTTTCTCATTTGTTAAATGCAACTAGTAGACTAATAATGCCCAGCTCACCAGTGTGGGTGTGAGGAGTTGCTGACAAGCACTCAGCCTGGCAGAGGAAAGGCCTTTGATAATAATCCCTGAGCCCTTTTCCTCTACCAGAAAAGGACCCTGAGGGTTATTATTCACCATCTGAGCCATCTTCAACTCTCAGCATTATGGGGCTCAAAAAAGGGGAGGCTTTCTACGGAAAAGCCTACGTTATTAGCTTAATTCCACACTTTTTAGCGCTGAGAGTAGTAAAACCACTTCTCACATCTCCAACTGCAGACATGAGGAAGCTGTCTCCCTTTGCTTCCATAAATACCACCATTTGTACCATTTTCTGTTATTTTTGCTGATTGGAGAGATAGCAGTCATCCATCAAACAGTAAATAACCAAAAGTCATGATTTAACAAAATTGAGTATGTTACATCCTTTAACAAAATTGAGTATGTTAAAACCAAATAAATAAGATAATCTAGAAAAGTTAAAGCTCTGGAACATGTCACTAGAAACCTAATTCACTGGAAAAATCAGCTCATCAAGTGTGTCTGCTGGCATCAGCACTTCACTGTCTCTACCTATGTCACTCATCCCAAAGCGAGGCTGCATTTGGGACCCTGAAGCCCAGATAACTCCATGGTGCTTCTGTGTTGGCCCTTGACTCAGAGCAGCTTGAATTTTTTTTTTTTTTTTTTTAATTTTTTCAGACAGGGTCTCACTCTGTCACCAGGCTGGAGTGCAGTGGCGCAATCTCAGCTCACTGCAACCTCCACCTCCCAGGTTCAAGCGCTTCTCCTGCCACAGCCTCCCGAGGAGTAGCTGGAACTACAGGCACGTGCCACCACGCCCAGCTAATTTTTGTATTTTTAGTAGAGACGGGGTTTCACCAGGTTGGCTGGGATGGTCTCGATCTCCTGACCTCATGATCCGCCCACCTCGGCCTCCCAAAGTGCTGTGATTATAGGCGTGAGCCACCGCGCCCAGCCCACTGTGGCTTGTTTTGTAGTTAATTTGTCTCAGCCTTGGATGCTGGGGTCAAGGACTTTGTCTGTGTCATCTTCTTTGGCTGTCTTAGTCCTCATGGGCTGCTGTAACAAAATACCAAAGAATGGGAGGTTTATCAACAATAGAGGTTTATTTTTCATGATTCTGGAGACTGGGAAGTCCAAGATCAAGGCATATGCAGGTTGAGTATCTTGCGAGAGCCCTGCTTCCTTATACATAGCACCTTCTTGTGTCCTCCCATGGGGGAAGGAATGAATGAATCACCTCTTTATAAGAGCACTAATCCCATTCATGAGAGCACCACACTTACCACATACTCACCTCTCCCAAAGACTCCACCTCCTAATACCACCACCTTATGGGTGATGGATCTCATCATATGAATTTGGGGGGAACATAAACACTCAAACCATGGCAGAGGCCCAGACATGTAATGCAGGGCCTTGAACTTAACAGGTGCTCCATAAATTATTGCTATCTCTGTGGCTGGAAGCAAATCCATAGCAACTCGTGTTGCTCAGCTTTCTGAGAGTAGAATGACTAAATCACCTCTAAAAAAGGTGAGGACTACCTGAGAATGTTCTCTTCTAATTGTCTGAAAGGACCTTCCCCCAGCCCACACACCTCTCTTTGTGTTTCTGAACCTTCCCTATTTTCATGGACTTCATCCAGTTTCTAGAATAAACGGCCCCAGACAAGTGTTTCCCCCTTTTTCTGCGTGTTTACTGCATTCAGATCACGGTGTTTAGTAACTACAGCAGCAGTATGCTCTGGTCTTGCAGCTTTGGGGTCTACATTGAACCTCCACTGCCAAGAATTGCTGAGGGACTTTGATTTTGAAGAGTTCCCAGAGAAGAGATGATGGTCTGATTCTCTCTCTACCATGAAGGGCCCTAAGTAATTCTCGATGGAACTATTCCCTGTCCCTCGATCCTCCCTTCCCAAATCATCCTGGCAATTCCATTCCATCCCATCTAGCTCAAAATCTGCACTCGGTATCTTCCTCTAGTTTCCTGGTTACATGCTGTTAATTTCTTACCCAAATGCAGCTCCTTGTGTGCTGAGAAAGGAAAATTGTATTTAGTTCTAAATGGTAATACAGAAAGTGACCTCTTGGCTTGACTTGAGCAGACCAGCAGGTCATAACCCCAAAAGCACACACATTTCAAGGTCTGGTCTGAACACTTCCAGGGTGCACTGGGAGGCAGTCATTGACCAAGCTGTAGCAACAAGAAACTGTACCAGCTTGGTGACAAGTGGGGTATTATCAGGAGGGAGGCTCATGAGAAAGCTCTTGTGATCCAAATGATGGGACCCAAGTTAGAAATTTGAACTTGAAAATAAGGAAAAACTTGGCTGGGTATGGTGGCTTATGCCCGTAATCCTAGTGCTTTGGGAGGCTGAGGAGGGTGGATCACTTAAGACCAGGAGTTCAAGGCCAGCCCGGGAAACAAGACAAGACCCTCATCTCTACAAAAATTTAAAAATTAGCCAGGCATGGTGTGCACAGCTGCAGTTCCAGCTACTTGGGAGGCTGAGGCAGGAGGATCATCTGAACCTGGTAGTTTGAGGCTGCATTGAGGTGTGATCACACCACAGCACTCCAGCCTGTGGGACAGAGCAAGATCCCATCTCTTTAAAAAAGAGAGAGAGAGAGAGAGGTTTGATGGTTTGATTTTAATAAGAAACTGACTCAGGGAGGCATGCTCAGTATTCTTTTTATTTTTTAATGGTGTTTGTAGTCAGAGTAACTCTGATGCCAACCCCCCCCCTCCCCACCCATCAGCCTTCTCATGTTCACTGAATCATTTGCTTGGAAGGAACCCTCATCCCTCTGATGAGAGTGGGTTGACCCTCATTGCCCCTTCATGAGAAATCCTGAGTGTATCACCGCTTTCTTTTCTATTTCTGTTTTTCTTAGTAGCATCCATTGTTCTACAATATGCATTCTTAGCAGTATGCCTGTGTGCACAGGTAGAAGGTCAGGAGGGTGGAAATTGTGAACAGTTAGAGGCAAAGGCAAAACAGACATTTTACAGTTTATAAAAGTATAACATCCAATACTTCCGTTGTCACTCCGAAAGCATGAAGTGTGTGTTTGAAGAATTTTGTTTAAAAGATGGGTAGATCTTGAGCAAATTTCTCATTTCTTTTTTTTTTCTTTTTTTTTTTTTTGAGAGGGAGTCTCGCTCTGCCGCCCAGGCTGGAGTGCAGTGGCCAGATCTCAGCTCACTGCAAGCTCCGCCTCCCGGGTTTACGCCATTCTCCTGCCTCAGCCTCCTGAGTAGCTGGGACTACAGGCGCCCGCCACTGCGCCCGGCTAGTTTTTTGTAGTTTTTAGTAGAGACGGGGTTTCACCATATTAGCCAGGATGGTCTCGATCTCCTGACCTCGTGATCCGCCCGTCTCGGCCTCCCAAAGTGCTGGGATTACAGGCTTGAGCCACCGCGCCCGGCCCAAATTTCTCATTTCTATGTATTCTAGAAACACCCGTAATCCCAGTGCTGTGGGGGGCTGCTGTTTCTCTGCCTGCAGCATCCCCACTTCCCCATCCCACCACCGCACACATACACCCTTCTTGCCTGCCTGACTGCTCTTTAGCTTTCAGGTCTCCCTACTTCATCTTTCCTAAACCCCACTTCTTAGATAGGTTCCCCTCTTAGGAGCTCCCATAGAACCCTGTACTCCGTTTAGCACCACACTTACCACACAATATCATAATCATCTTACTGGACTAGGGCTCCATGAGGGCAGGGACCAGAACTGTCTTTTCCACAGTTCTATCCCCAGGTCAATAAGTGTTTGTAGAATAAATGAATTCTGATGAGTCTGTATAAGCCTTTTCTTTGTATGAGCCTTTGCTTCTCTCTCTAAACATGGTCTGTTGGGTATGGTTGTTCAGGTTGTGGACTGTACAAGGACATCTAGCAGAGAAGGGAAGGGAGGCTGAAATCCAGCCCACATTCTCATCACCAAGCCATTTTTTGCTGGCTGTGTCCACTATGAGGATGAGGTGCTATTCTCCTGATTTGCACAATAGCACCACACGGGCTTTCAGCAGCCTAGCTCTGAACAAAGCTTAGTATGTTCAAAAGCAGGTGAGAATTCTCTTGCTCATTCCTAGAAAGACTAGGGCTGAGTGATTTTATGAAACTCTCTCTTTAGGTCCTTTGCCAGCCATCAAAGCCAAGACCCAAACCCCATTCACAGCAAAGATTTCTCTTACTCTTCTCATTTTTCTCTCCTGCAGGGTTTGGGATGACAACTCCAGCAACAGTAGGTGGAAAAATCTTTCTTATCTTTTATGGCCTTGTTGGGTGTTCCAGCACCATCTTGTTCTTCAACCTCTTCCTGGAGCGCCTGATCACCGTCATCGCCTACATCATGAAGTCGTGCCACCAGCGGCAGCTCCGGAGACGAGGGGCCCTGCCCCAGGAGAGCCTGAAGGATGCGGGGCAGTGCGAGGTGGATAGCCTGGCCGGCTGGAAGCCCTCCGTGTACTACGTCATGCTGATCCTATGCACAGCCTCCATCCTCATCTCCTGCTGCGCCTCGGCCATGTACACCCCCATTGAAGGCTGGAGCTACTTTGACTCACTCTACTTCTGTTTCGTGGCTTTCAGCACCATCGGCTTTGGAGACCTGGTCAGCAGCCAGAACGCCCACTATGAGAGCCAAAGCCTCTATCGCTTTGCCAACTTCGTCTTCATCCTCATGGGTGTCTGCTGCATCTATTCCTTGTTCAATGTCATCTCTATCCTCATCAAACAGTCCTTGAACTGGATCCTGAGGAAAATGGACAGCGGATGCTGCCCGCAATGCCAGAGAGGACTCTTGCGATCACGCAGGAACGTGGTGATGCCAGGCAGCATCCGGAACCGCTGCAACATCTCCATAGAGACAGACGGAGTGGCAGAGAGTGACACAGATGGGCGCCGGCTCTCAGGAGAGATGATCTCCATGAAGGACTTGCTGGCAGCCAACAAGGCCTCGCTGGCCATCCTGCAGAAGCAACTGTCTGAGATGGCCAATGGCTGCCCCCACCAGACCAGCACGCTGGCCCGGGACAATGAATTCTCAGGGGGCGTGGGAGCCTTTGCAATCATGAACAACAGGTTAGCAGAGACCAGCGGGGACAGGTAGAAGCCAGGAGTGGAGGCTGGGCAGAGGCCAGAGTAGGATGGAGGATGACTGCCGCCCAGGGGACGAGCTCAGCCCCATGCCTTGGCTTTATTCCTTCTGGGAGCTGTTCCTGGGAGCTTCCGCAAGCCCATCTTTAGAAATCGGATCTGGGTTCTAACCAACAGCCACCTTCCAGGGATCGGGGGCCTGAAGCCTCAATGCTTGTCTCCTGATCCTTATTCTTTAAGTCTAAATTCAGTCTTTTCAAAATAAATCACAAAAGCAGCATTAGACATTGCCTTGTTTCTTTAATCTTGTTTCAGAGCTTTAACTGCCTGGGGAGATAGATTTTACTTAAGCCTTGATTTCCTGAGGCTCTCTCTGTTCCTTATTTGGGAACAAAAATTGTGACGACTCATCTTTCCCTAGAACTCTGAATGAATGAATTTTTAAAAGTGGGGAGAATGCTTGGGGATGTGTCTGGGCTTGCTTTTTGCCAGGCTTCCTTCAGAGCAGACCTGCCAGTAGTGTCTGCATAGGGAAAATGTCGGTTGTACTTTTTATTTTTTTGAGACAGAATCTCGCTCTGTCGCCCAGGCTGGAGTGCAGTAGCACGATCTTGGCTCACTGCAAGCTCCGCCTCCCGGGTTCACACCATTCTCCTGTCTCAGCCTCCCGAGTAGCTGGGACTACAGGCGCCTGCCACCACGCCCGGCTAATTTTTTGTATTTTTAGTAGAGACAGTGTTTCACCGTGTTAGCCAGGATGGTCTCGATCTCCTGACCTCGGGATCCACCAGCCTCGGTGTCCCAAAGTGCTGGGATTACAGGTGCAAGCCACCGTGCCCAGCCTGTTGTACTCTTTATACCTGTTTCTGTTTTTTGTTGTCCCTTTCTTTTTATTTTTAAGGCCTTAATGTCTGGCTGTGGCATCTGTGAGACCTCAATGTAATAAGAAAATTAAATTCAGTTTTGGGCTTTTAAACAGCAAGATGGTGGTGTAGGGGCATGGGAGGGGAGAGACTCACTTTTGTAACTAAAAAACATAGCTTAACATTTTCCCTCTGAATGGTCGTACAGACCATTTCATTTTTACCAGGGCTTGGGGGCCCAATGCAAAGATGACGACTATTTATTAAAATGGAAAATGTAATAAATCCTCATTTCATTAACTAAGATTCCATGAGTGCTCATTGTGGTCCGTGGAGGACAAGCACCTAATTAAACAGGCATTTATTGGACTCACAGAAAAAGGAAATGGGAAATTGACCTTCACGGATGTGAGCGTCATTTTGGCGTCTTGACTGGAGAAATGTCCTAGGCCAGATAATGAAATCTGGCTTTTTTTGGTTCGATGCATTTCCTTTGTGCCTTCTGAGACTGTAACGAGTCTAGTTTTATAACCTCCATCATCCACACGAGGAACAAAGGCTGTTGACCTTCATATACACAGGAGAATGCATTTGAGGGGATGACAGCAGCGTTAAAAAACGATAGCTGTTATTTTTCTAAGGTAGGAGTGGTGCACACGCAGCGCTTTCAAAAATGATGAGGAAAGGCCGGGCGCAGTGGCTCACATCTTTAATTCCAGCACTTTGGGAGGCTGAGGCAGGCGGATCACCTGAGGTCAGGAGTTCAAGATCAGCCTGGCTGGTGAGAAACCCCGTCTCTACTAAAACTACAGAAATTAGCCAGGTATGGTGGCGCACACCTGCAATCCCAGCTACTCGGGAGGCTGAGGCAAGAGAATCACTTGAATCTGGAAGGTGGAGGCTGCAGTGAGCCAAGATCATGCCACTGCACTCCAGTCTGGGCAACAGAGCGAGACTCTGTCTCAAGAAATGAAAGAAAGACGGCCACCGTAAAGAAGACAAAGCTGAAAACCTATGCCTCATGAAACTGAAATGTAGAGCAGAGAACATCAGAGCTGGTGGGACCCCCTTAGAAACCATCTCATCCAGCCTCCTGGTTTTTGACACCAAGAAACAGGCACGGGGGTTGTCCCTTGTCTGAGGCCTCAGGGGTGGGTAGTGTACAGCTGGGGAAGGAACCTAGGGCTCCTGATGGTGCAGTCCAGGCTCTTGGCCCCTACTGCACACAACCTTGCCCCCTTCCTCAACAGGTCCCTCTTCAGGCTCAGTTGCCTTTCCTTCCAGCTCACAAACCCAGATATTTTCTTTACATACCAGAAGTACCTGATAGAAGTTCAACAAGCAGCAACAGCGGACTTTGAACTTAGCACTGCACGGCTCCAAAGTCAGAGATCTTAAAGTATTCTCTATATCACTCTTAAAGGGAAGGCATCCTGGAGCTACTGCAAAATGCTTGTTAGGAACCTGTGACCCCAAACAGAGCTTCTCATGGGCTCTGTACTGTACCAGGTGCTGTGGGGATGGGAAGAGGAGCACCTATGGGATTCCTTGATCTCCATATTTCTAGTACATGGGTTGGAGTAAAGCAAGTGATTGCATCTCCAACACAGGTTCCTGGGGACCCTGATGGTGTGCTGGGAGGCCAAGGAACATCAGTATACCCAAGGCTCATCTTCCTAGAGGGTCAGTTGTTCTAAGCAATTTTTGCAGAGAGATGTTATATAAAAACACATGACTTTCTTTAAATAAGATCCAAAATGGGCATAAACTTTTTTGGGGGGATGGGGGCAGGGGAACAGGGTCTCGCTCTATTGCCCCGGCTGGAGTGCAGTGGAGCAATCTTGGCTCACTGCAACCTTTGCCTCCTGGGCTCCAGCAGTCCTCCCACCTCAGCCTCCCAGGTAGTATAAGCAAGTTGTTTAGTATAAGGAGGTGTTAAAGACACGCTAGCATCAAGCAGAGACTTTCCCTGCAATGGGAAAAGGACAGGAAGAGTCTTGCAAAGGCAATAACTTTCTCTCTGTGTGATTGATTAATTCCACACCTGAGGGCCCCTAAAATCATCTCATGTTCTACCCAAATCATTGGTACACATCCCACATTTGGGGCAACATTCAAATCACAAAATACCCCCCAAAAAGCACAGTTTCTGAGGTCTGGCCAACCACATAGTGAAGAACACTTGGCGTCAACATACTTGGGTTTGAACACCAGTCCCGATCGTTCCAGTGTGGGAGAGGTTGGCCAAGTGTGTCGACCTCATTGTGCACCACGTGGAAATGGCAACAACACTGGCTACCTCGCGAAGCTGTGGAGAGGGTCACATGAGATGAGCCTCAGGGGTGGCTTTGTGAACCCCCGGAAAGGCACAGACAGTAGGCACTGATGGGCCACATGCTGGGATAAAGGGGGGATGCTGCATCCCTCAGTGAAAGACTTTGTTTTGTTCTTGCACCTGGTACCCAACCCATGCCACATGGTTTCAAGATGGCTCTTGATTATTAAATGGTGCCGCTCCTGATGATCGTTATACCAAACCACAGACCCCAAAGCATTTTTTTCTCTTCCACTGAGTCTTTTTATTTCAATATCAGCCGAGGCTATTGAACCATTTGACATAGTAAAATGTTTTAGAAAGGCTGTAGTAATACCCTGTATCTTGCTAACATTTTTACAGTTTTTAAGCCTTACCTGTTTATAATTCTGATATTTTGACCTTCATAACCACATTGTAGATTTCTAGGCTAGAAGTAGGCAGGGCATTTATCTTCACACTGCCCTTAACTTTTTCCAGAATAAGAGGGATAAATAATTATTTTATGTAAGAGTTGACTGGGATTCAGATTGACAGTGATTCTAGAGTAAGCTTGGAAATCCTTTACTGTGGTGTTCTACTGGTAATTTTCTATTTCCCTGATTTCTTCTACATGTATGAATTGGAATTCTTCTTTGTGGAAGAGACTTTCCTTCTTCCCCATTGTTTTAAAACGTTAAAGAACTTAACTTTAACATTTCTTGTAGAGTAGGTTTTCTGGCAGTGAGTTCCCTCAGTTTTTGTTGGTCTGAGAAAGCCTTTGTTTCTTCTCTGTTTTTGAAAGGTGTTTTTGATGGATATAGAATGTTGTATTGACAGGTATTTTGTAAAAATCAGCACTTTAATTATGTCACACCATTGCCTTCTGACTTGTATGGTTCCATATGAGAAGTCTGCTGTAACTCCTTTCTTGTTCCTGTGAATGTAATGTTCCTTTCTTCTCTGGCTGCCTTCAGGATTTTGTCTTTTGTTTTCTGCAGTTTGAATATAGCATGTCTAGATGCGTGTGGTGGGTGTGGGGGTGTGTGTGTGTGTGTTGTAAAACCAAAGTAATAATTGCCACAAGCAAGATCCACCGATGGATGCTAAAAGTAAGGGTGTAGAAGTTTAAGCCACAAAGGATATTTGCAGTCTCAAAGGATCTCCACCAAAATATTTGGTAATTACAAAGAGAAAAATAGTAACTTTACAGTGGAGAATTCTGGCAGATATCAAATTAATCAAGTGACCAGAGTTACCCTCGCCATTAGCACCTACCAACATCATGTGCCACTTGACTGACGCATTGAGAAGGCACAGCATCTCTGCGGACTCCTTCGCAAGAACTTCAGTCTACTCACGAGAAAACACCTGACAAACCCCGAATCGAGGGGCGTTCTACCAAGTAACTAATCAATACTCTTCAAAAATCTCAAGATAGGACATATAAGTAACACCTGATGAACTGTTGCGGATTGGAGGAGACTGAGGAGGCCTGACAAATGAGGCAGGGGCACCACGGGCCTTCACCATCAGCATATTCCATCTGGATTTTTTTAATGGAATCCAACAGTTCATGGACTCATTTCCTTAACACAGTGTCTGTGATTCAGTCCCAATACAGAGAACTGGCACGTTGCAAAGAAAATCCACCTGATGACAGTAATTATCCAAACTTCTGACTCACCTTTTTCACTGCCTTAAAACACATCTTTTGCCACTAACCAAACCCAATTCTGTCAGGGGGGGAGCCAAGCTGGGATTTGGGAGGAGGTCAGGCCTCTTTCCACACAGTTCTGGGTTTATTTTCCATGAAGCCCTCTTCTTCATTCAAGAAGGAAATGTCCTTCGTCCAAGGCCATTCCTATCCCAATGCCTGCAGTCACACCCTGAGACGCAAGCCCATCTGAGACTATCTGATATGCTTGCTGTCTGCAGAAATTGCTTGGAGGATTTCAGGAGTAGCTCCTTTGCTGCCATCACAGGAGTCTGGGGACACAGAGAACATCTACTACCTGGAGAGAGTGAGGAAGCAGAAATCTTGTGGTGGTTGGCCACATCTCAGGTTTACAGCCTGCCCAAAGGGTGTGTAATCCCAGCAGGTTAATTTTCTAGAACCCAAGAAGC